GTAAATTTTATTAATTAATTATTATATATTTTTATTTTATTGAATAAAAAATAAGTATTCTAAAGTTAAAGAAAGGTAGTAACTATTAAATAGAGTCTAAGCAAGGCACCAAACTCTATACATGTGACGCCCCAAACCCCAGAGCGAGACAAACGTCGTGCACTCGTGAACGGAATTCACAAATGCACAAGGTTCGAAACCTACTGAGTTCTTACTTAGCAATTCAGACAATTCAAATCTAAACTATTTTATAACTTAATATATACAATCATGACTAAAACTAAGGAAGTTCTTTACACAAAAATTTCTAAGTCAAGCATGGGTGACTAACGGCCTAACTACAAAAATCTAAGTCCAAAAATGCCTAACCGTCTAGCTCGTCACTCCCCCAGGCTCCCCCTGCGTCGGGTCTCACTACCTAAAATGGTGGACAAGGAAAACTATGAGATAAACTCAATAAGTAAAATATGGAGTGCCCCTTATTAAACTCATAGCATGCCAACAAGTGTAATCACGAAAAACGAATATAGTACGAGAACGAAATAGACGTCTCCTCTATAGATCATGGTCAGTGTTATAAACCACCCACTGGCAAGCGCACTATTTACTAGTGTATAATCCCTACTAGCATGGTCACTAATAACATGACCACATCGGAGACAAAACAGGCAGAAGTTAACGAAAAAATCATAATTCACCAATCACTTTCAGATTATCAGGACAATCAATTAAATTTCAAGTAGACATGCTCAATTTAATGAAAAGCGTAAAAATTTCACTTCAAATCAGTTATACTTATTTTTGTATAAAACGAATTTAGTCCCACCACTACTTCAAAACAAATCAAGACATGCTTTTAAAAACTATACAGGCATTACCATAAATTTATTTACCTCACTCACATAAAGCAGAAAACTCACTCCAAGAGCTAAGGTGATAGAATAATCAGAAACCTAACCAAAATATTCCAGAATTAATAACCATATGAAAACTACCTATTTAATCCTTTTCAATATTGTTGCTGGCAAAACTCCAAAATACCATATTTATTATTTATATTTTTTTTCTTCAAAATTTATCACTGCAACCGGATTATATATATATATATACATACATATATACAAATACATATATATATATATATACACACATAGCTCCCTAATCCCACAAACAACAAAAATGGAAGAACCGGTTTTGGGCAATCTAGTGGCTAACACACGGGATTTTCTCTTGACAATTTCACAACAATTACTCAGGCTAATTCCCACTTAATTTAAACAAAACCCACTTAAAGCTACCGAATTTCCCCCTTTTTTTTCTTGGCAGCATTCGGCAATCACAGGGCAGCCACACTAAGGACCAAATTCAGCAAAGCAACCACCAATTAGATGAAATTTGGACTTAAAGGAGTTGCCACATACTAGAAAATTCAGCAAGCAAAGCAGGTTCTGGCGGTGAGAGAGGCTACCGAAAATTGGAGAGAAATCAGCACAAAATTGAAGGAAATAAGAGCAATTAGAGTGAACCCAACTTGAATCAAGGCTAAGGGATGAAGTTCATGGCTGTGGCTTACCGGAAAAAGCCCAGAATTTCAAACCCACATAGCAGAAACCGACGGACAAGGGAAGAAGAAGCAGAGTAGATTCGGGATTTCTGGGTTGAGGGAGAGAGTTTTAAGTCCTAAAACTTGTTATTGAGCAAGAAAAGAAAGGAAAATCTCAAGTTTCTACCGGTTTTTTCCAAGGGATGGCTGTCGGCTTGCTTGGTTCCTTT